TTCCTGCAGCCATGTGCGGGGGGGAGCTGACTGCCGTGGCCGGGGTGATCCTGTCACCCAACTGGCCAGAGCCCTATGCAGAGGGGGAAGACTGCATCTGGAGGGTCCACGTCGGCGAGGAGAAGCGTCTCTTCCTGGACATCCAGCTGTAAGTAGTCCAGACCTCGGTGCATGTCTCTGCCCTGCCACTGCTCAGCGCACTTCACTGCAGTATCCCTGCTCCCCCCGCCCCAGCGACCAGCGCCTTTTCCCTGTTTTCCCCGTCGGAGCTTTCCTAATCCCCTGTGATGTCCTTGGCACCCAGCGGGAGGTCCAGGCCAGTACCGAGTAGTGCTCCCTGAGTTCAAAGCGCTGTTACACCATCCATTGCAGTAGCTAATTGCTCCCGAGACAGTTTCTGAACTCCTGCGGAGCAAAGTCACAGGGAGCGATGCCACAGCAGCACGCAGCCACGTGCGGCTAGGAGTGACACGCAGCACCATCACGAGCTGGTTCATGTGGGGCTAGGAAAGCCTTGCCAGCTCAGCCGTGAGCTGGAAACCTCAGCTTCGTGTCTGGGCTGAATGTGATACAGGCGCTAAGGGGGAGCAAGGGGTGCCCTTGTATCAGTTCCCTTCCTGACCGCCAGCCCCCTCTGTGCCATTCAGCGGCATGGCTCAGAAAGCTGCGGGGAGCAGAGCAGAGCTGCCCAGCAAGGCCCTGGCCGCGCCGTCCAGGCGTGGGCAGGCACGGCCGCGCTTGCTGCACGTGCGGGTCTCAGAGGGGTACAGGCTTCGATACCACGCCAAGGGCTCCCAGCCTGGCAGTGCTGCCAATGCAAAGGGAATGTCCTTCGATGCTATTTTGGGTTTTCAAGAGGAGGGCATGCTTCAGGTAGGGGCTTAGAGTCATAAAGGTTTTAAAGCTTTCCGTGAAAATCACAAGTCGGAGCTCCCAGTGCACCTCTCCTGGCTTTATGGGTGCTTGGGCTGAGCAGAACTGGAGGCCAAGTGATTTTAAGTCATCAAACATAAACGTCACTGAGAAAACCATGTTTGACAGAAAGCAGAGATTTACTACAAATGTCAGTTTGCCATGGGGATTAGCTGGGCGCCTTCCAAGAACATTCTCAATAAAATGTTCGGGGATCGGCTCAGGTGTCTCCAAGCACGGCTGAGTTAGACGGGCTGACGTGCAGGGCGGGGGTCCCGCAGGGCCCGAGCGCGTCCTGGGCCCACAGGTTCCGC